AGAAAAAAAGCTGGAAGTGGTGCTGTGGCTCAAGTGGTAGAGCGCTAGCCTTGAGCTGAAGAGCTGAGGGACAGTGCCCAGGCCCAGAGTTCAGGCCCCAAGACTGGATCCCCTCACCCCCCCAAAAAAATTGAATTGCCAACAACTGCTAAAAACTGATCTAATTTCTTAATTTTATTATTTAAAATTTAGGAAAGTACATGAAGTAAATCCTCATGAGTGTAAATCTGTTTGATGGAAAATGTAACACTGAAATGCTTAAAGTATCATTTTAAAAAATCTTAGCTATTACAGCTTTTTTGAAATTAAGGGCATGTACTACTACACACTACACAGTATACCTAGCCCAAAATAACTCTTGCTACTTTAATTTTAACAAAATAATGGGTTTCATTATGACATCTTTATATGTTCCCAGTACCTTCTTTTGTGCCTAGGTGCTGTCTTTGAGCTTTGCTCAAGGCTAGCCATAGTTCTACCTCTGGCTTTTTGTGGTTAATTGGAGATCAGAGTCTCATAGAGTTTCCTACTTAGGCTGGCTTTGAACCACAATCTTCAGATTTCAGCCTCCTGAATAGCTAGGATTACAATCATGAGCCACTGGCACCTAGAACTTCTATGTTTTTTAATGATTTGTTTTCTTGTTTGTTTTCTCTTTCCCTTATTAGCACAAATAATAGTATGCAAGTATTCTTTTACAACATTTCAAACATATGGTTATCAGCATACCTAAGTGAAATTGTGTATGTTTAAAAATATTCTTCTTAAAATTTTGTATGTAGCCATGCACTGGTGGCTCATACCTGTAATCCTAGCTTCTCAGGAGGCTGAGATCTGAGCGTGGTAGTTTGAGACCAGCCTGGGCATAAAAGTCTATGAGATTCTTATCTCTAGTTAATGAGCAAAAAAGCTGGAAGTTTGGACACTAGTCTTAAGTGAATAAGCTAAAGGAATAGTGCCAGGCAGGCCCTGAGTTCAAGCCCCAGTAACAGCATGCATGGGCACACACACACACACACACACACACACACACACACACACACACAGTTTGTATGTAATCAAGTTTATATATTTTTTTATTATGAAGACTTTCAAAGCAGTACAATGAAAACTAGCATATACCTAAATCTGTATGAAAATGATCAGATTTTTGCTATGTAAGCTAGGCTAAACTAAGATAATCCTTTTGTGTCTACCTGAATGCTGGGGTTATAGATGTATGCAACTGTGTACAGCTTTTAAAGGCATTTCTTTACCTACTTTCCAAATTTGGTTCTTTTAGTTCTAAGATACACTGTGAGGTGATACCGAGCTGGTCTTGGTGGTTTTCATTTATTTTTGTAACAATTGACTTACTTAATTCTCATCTGTTTATTGTGTAAAATTCTGACCCTGGAACTGACAGGCTGGGTCTGGGAACTGTCTCGGTGCTCATTGCATCCCTACAACTAAGCTGATGGTGTCTGAAGATTCCTCAGCCTAGTTTAGCCTAAAGAATGTTAATGCATTGCAATTAAGCTTTGATTTACTTAGCCTTTTTCAGAATAACTGTGCTATTGGCATAATTGTTACAATGTACATACACAGTTTGGAACAGTAAAATTCATTTTGGGATATAATGCCCTTTTAGGCTCTACTATCATCCTTGCTGAGCTTTAAAGCAGCTTAATTCAAAAAGAGTTTGCTGTTTATCTAGGTGAATTTAGATAGTATGAAGTATGATGATCCTTTGATAGATGGCTTTTTATTTTTCTGTTTTAGAATCACAAGAAGCTGAGGAACAGCTGGTAGCAGAAGTGATTGAAAAATGTTCATCTGAAACTTGTTCTAAACCTCCGGAAAATGAGGTACCACAGCTGGCCACTGATACTCATCCAGTCCAGGATGGCAAAGAAGAACCTGAACACGATACTAGCAAAATCTCAGTAGTGAGGCCATATTCGATAGGAACCAAGAATTCCAAAGATATCCCAGCATCTCTTGGAACAAAAGCAGCCTATGGCTGTGTAACTGAAGTCTCTGGGGAGGTTTTGCCTTCCATCCCACCAGAAGTCATCCAAGACAAGGCAATGACAGAAGGCAACATGGGGGTTACACTTGAAGCTTCTACAGAAGTGGATCTAAAGGTCAGCAGCTCCTGTCTAGAGCCTGTAACCAGTAGAAGCAAACTAAGAAAGCCTAAACCTGTCTCCCTGCGGAAGAAAGCAACTGGAGGAGAGTTTTCAGAAACAGAAACTTCCAGGGAAGGCATACCTATTCCCAAGTCATCCTCCCAGTTCCAATCAGATGAATCTGATGAGAACACACCTGTGCTGGGTGGTACCAAGAACCAGAAATCTCCTCCTGACTGGAAAGAAGCTTCTGGCACTCTGAGTAGTGACACCAATGACTCGGGAGTTGACCTGCAGGAAGAGTCGAAGAGTTCACCTCTCAAACTCCAGTTTGATTTCATAGAAGTAGAAAATGGAGAGGCCAGGAAAGCCCTTCCAAAGAAACCTGGCAAGAAACCAGGAAACAAACTGATGCCCAAGATACAAAAAGATGGCATCAGTAAACTAGTAGGGGTAGAACAGACTGTAGAGCCAACAACCAGAGACACACCCTTCTCCCAAGCATCCCCTAAGAGAGAACCAACTCAATGGGATCACCCCAACTTTAATTCCTTTGGGAGCCACTCCATTCTGCAGAAATCCCCACCTCTGTCCTCTAAGGGCTCCTACCACTTTGACCCAGATAACTTTGACGAATCCATGGATCCCTTTAAGCCAACCACAACTTTAACAAGCAGCGACTTTTGTTCTTCCACTGGTAATCATGTTAATGAAATATTAGAATCACCTAAGAAGGCAAAGTCTCGTTTAATAACGTGAGTGACGTTGGGTGCTGGGTGCTATGTCTGTGTATTCTCTTTGAGTTCAGCAGTAGCTACTTTTGGTTTTGGTGAGCTACATTTATCTTGGAGGTACACTGGGACTATACAAAGCTTATGACTTTATTCTGTACTCTAAGAATTTTCCTTTCTAGGTTTTTGACTAATTTTTGAATCCTTGACTTATTTAACTAAACTTTTGTAGGTATTCCTTACTCTGCATAGTTTTATGTTTATTTTTTTGTCAGTTGTGGGGCTTGAACTCAGGGCCTGGGTCCTGTCCCTGAGTTTCTTTGTGCTCAAAGTTAGTGCTCTATCACTTTGAACCACAGCTCCACTTCTGGTTTTCTGGTCGTAAATTGGAGATAAGAGTGTCACAGACTTACCTGCCTTTGAACTGTGATCCTTAGATCTCAGCCTCATGGGTAGCTAGGATTATAGGAATGAGCCATTAGCACCCAGCTCTGCATAATTTTTTTTTTTTTTGCTAAAAAAATCAGGTAGAGATTTGATGGGTTCATAAACCTCAGTCAAGATTACTTTGGATACAGAATTCAAATGTAAGTGTTGTGTGTGTATGTGTACACATACATAGGCACGTGCACTGGTGGGGCATGAACTCAGGGCCTGGATGGTGTCCTTGAGTTTTTTTGCTCAAAGCTAGTGCTCTACTACTTGAGCCACAAATCTACTTCTGGCTTTTTGGTGGTTAATTAGAAAAATCTCATGGATTTTCCAGTCTCGGCTGGCTTTGAACCATAATCCTCAATCCTCAGAACTGTAATTCTCATCTTCCTAAGAAGCTAGGATTATAAGTGTGAGCC